TCTCCTCTCCTCTCCTCTCCTCTCATCTCTCTTCTCTCCTCTCCCTTCTCTCCTCTCTTCTCTCTCCTCTCATCTCTCCTCTCTCCTCTCCCCTCTCCTCTCTCCTCTCCTCTCTCCTCTCCTCTCTCTCCGCTCTCCTCTCCTCTCTCTACTCTCTCCTCTCATCTCTCCTCTCTCCTCTTTCTTTCAAGACAAAACACAAGTCCAAAAGTGAGGACAGTTCTGCGTTTCGCGACCAGGACCCCCCCGATCCCCGTGACTGTTGACACCCTTGAGACGCGAAGACCAGAAGCAAATCCAAAAGTGACGAGACTTCTGCGTTTGGCGACCAGGACCCCGCCGATTCCAACCGCAAGTCCAAAAGTGAGGACAGTTCTGCGTTTTGCGACCAGGACCCACCCGATCCGCGTGAGCGTTGGCACTTTTAAGACGCGAAGACCCGACGTGAGTCCAACAGTGACGACAGTTCTGCGCTTGGCGACCAGGACCCCGCCGATCCGCGTGACTGTTGGCACTTTTGAGACGCGACGACCCCACGCGAGGCCAAAAGCAACGACAGTTCTGCGTTTCGCGACGATTTTCGACTGCGCAGCTGCTTGCACACGCTTTGCACATGCTTGCGAACGCTTTGCAACACAAACGCAACGACTTTTGATCGCCTCTTGGATCCCTGGACCCCAACCTTGAAACAGGAACCCTTCTGCGGAGCATTCGGGAAAGCACATCTCTGTCAAGCTTGCTTGCTGCGGTGCCTGTACTGAAGAGATGGCAGGCCTGTGTGAAGGGCAGCATTCAGGAGGTGCCCGGCCGAAAGGGACATGTGTTCACGTATTGACATCCTAACGGATCAGTTGCCTCTTGAGTTTTGCTCCCCTTTGCAGCGCTTTTGTTCAGGTGCATGACCTCATTCTGAAAGGAGCAAACAAGAATGCGCCTTTAGATAAGGAGCTGAAGACACCGCTCCTTGACGAGAATCAGCATGACTTACCCATGATCATTTCATCATGTGCTTGCCCGTCGGTGCTTGCAGGCGCCAATTCATCTGAGGCTCATGATAGCTTGTCAGCTGGGCTGGCCTCATGCTCAAAGTTGAATGAAGATCACATCCAGAGTCCCGCCTGGTTGTCTGCAGCTACAGTGTCCCAAGGTTTCATTTGGTAAAGTGGCTTGTCGAGTTTGAGGGTGTAGACGTGGACGGCCCCATTTCCAGATGTGGCTTCAGAGCCATTGACTACGCTGGGAAGGCGCGCTTCTGCGAATTGGGTCCATCTTTCTCCAGTAAGTGTTTGTGTCTGGGACAGGAGCAATTCCGCTGGCCAAACGAGGAGGCTTCTTTTTTTTCAGAGCTCGCAACAGTTGCCACACAATGTGCCAGCATGACAAGCATCCAGGTCGAGATTGCAGATTACTTGAGGAGCATCGAATCTGCTGTCAACCTTTCCGAAAGCCAGATGCGCATGCGATGGTATGCCTCCAACCGCAGGAGCATGGGCTCCAACTACACCTGGTGGGGTGCTTGCTTTTCTGGAGACATTCAACGCATCGACGAGTATCTCCAAAATGGCCAGGAAACCGCGATATAGATTTGCTGCTCTGGGGAAGCCGAGGGCGTTCTGGCCTCTTGCGTTTAGCTACTAGATTTTGCACTTGGCTTGTCTTGAGTCGCTCGGAAACTTATCATGGGTACTCAGGGGTGCCAGGCGTTGTTGTTTGATGTCGGGTGTTGCTTTTATTGGCAAGGGTCAGCCCCCCGGCAGCCCCCTTCCCTGAACTACCTTTCCCAGTTTCCAGAAGCCCAGCAGCCAAAATCCCAGAAGCCTGGACCAAAAAGGGCACTCACAGGCCAGCAAAACAAGATCCTGCTGGAAATTCCGCCTTCGTCGTAAATTGGGCAAAGACTTGCCAAGTTATATTGTCCGGAATTGCTCCTAAAAGTTCGGGTCCATGTCCGGTTTTTGAAAACGCTCCCTGTCATGTTTGAAGTGCTGACGTCTTAGCACATGCTGCTTGGGATGTTCGGAAATGTAATTTCCGGAGCGGCCAAGGGAGTGCAGGGCCCCCCAGGAACTTCGCATACTCCCCTGCTGCAGGTGGCCATCAACTTAAGACAAAGCCGCAATGGACTGTAAAAGGTATTGAATTTGGCTAGTTTGGAAAAGCTACAACAGGCATACTTCTCGGTATAATTTGCCTAAATGCCCACGAAACGTACATGCGCATAGAACTGGGACCTGCTAGTATTTCTGGTTCTTGTACTCGTACTAGTAGCTGGCCAGCAATAGACAGCACCGACGGCGGCGGCGGCAGCTGCACCATGACCAAGCGTTTGCGCACATTGGATTAGGGTCATGCTGTTCATGCAGAGGGATGCTGTAATTACAGTGTTCACTCAAGAAAGCTTCCTCTGAAGCTTTCTCTTTTCAGCCCAGCTATGCTGCTCTGTTCTAAGGGGGTGTGGGAGGGAGGGGGAACCCCAACATGTGCTCGAATTTGGCTCTTTTTCAGGGGCCAGGCCCCAGGGTTTTTCGGGGGTGTCCTGGTGGGCTACTTCGTGCCCTGCCTTATGTTGTTCAGCTGTACAACTGCAATTTTTGAGCTGACTACTTGCCTTTCGGAGTTGTGATGCGCAAGGAC